TGTGGAACGGCCTCGCGTAATGCTCGGATCATGTTCGAATCGTCCCTTCATTGTAACTAGAGTTTTCACCTGTTTCTTGTGTACGTGCTGTTGACGGAATTCCATGTTTCTTTTGCAACTCCTGGATGGTTTTTGCACTGTAAGTGTGACTGCACGTGTGGCTGGTGGATGAGTTGTCGCTGGAATTTCATTGTGTTTTGCAACTTCAGGATCGTTCCCGCAATGTAAATGGCAATTTCATGTCTGGTTGGATCATGTCTCCCAATTTCATTTTTGGAGGAAGTCTCGCAGAATTGCTTCGTTTTGCAGGTGTTCAACATGCATTTTGGATGGAAGTCTCGTACAGAATGCGTACTTCCGTGTTACGTACTTCCCTGTTTCTTGCGCGTCTGTGTGGAACAAAAGGATGTGGTGAGTCGGTGACGCATCGGCTGTGCTCTTGGACTTCGGTGCGATGCTGTGAGCCACCGATGAAAAGCGAAAGAAGAAGTCACTGCGTGCCGTTGTGAGCTGCTTGCGTGACCCCATCGTTGCGGGCCCGAAAAAAAGGGGGTCCGGAGTCCGCAGGGCATGTGCGAAGGGACACGGAGCTCCTATAGGTCACGGTCAAATTGTTCTTATAGGAAACTTCCGCCGCTGGGTTGTGCGGGAACTGCTGGTATTTATATGTTGTAGGCTTCGCAAAGCGGCGACACCATCATGGTTTTGGTCACTGTTGTTGTTGTTGTTGTTGCTGTTGCTGTTGTGTTGTTGTTATTGTTGTTGTTGTTGCTGCTGCGGGTCATTGGTCTTGTTGCCTTTGGCGCGCCCAAAAGACTCCTGCTACATCATGGTTTTGGCGCGCGGAGGCGATGACACTCTGTAAATACACGGTGTTTGCTGGTCAATTTTTCGTCAGATAGCTAGCTGTTCTGAAGGCAGGGCGCCGGTGCTGGTTCTGGTGCCGGTGCGGTGAGTTGGCAGCACGTTTTGGAAAAGGGTGGTGACATTGTCGAGAGGGTGGGTGCTGGGCGCTGTCGAGACAGGGGGTCGGTGCTGGTGCTGGCACCGCACTTGGAAAACAGGATGTCTACGAGATCTTCGTGGAAAGGGATCTGCTTGAGCGAGCTGCTCATCCTAGCCTGCCTGTCGAGCGGATTTGGCATCGGCGGCATCGAGCAGGAGATCTGCTTCTGCCAGAGTGGTGCTGGTCCTGCCGGACCTCTGAGGATCAAAAGGAGGAGTCTCTTCAGCGTCTACGTGGAGAGAGACGAGCGCGCGGGGAAGCTGAAGTGGGTGAAGAGTGAGAAGGCGGCGAAAGCCACCCTCAATTGTGAGAGAAAAGAAGCCCAAGAAGTGGTTGTGCCTGCGAGCTTGAGGCGACCAGAGAAGACTTCGAAGAAGGCCAGATTGGCTGTCTGATTGGACAGTGGCGCTTTTGGGAGCTGCTGAATCTCAGTGGACTGTCATTTGAGGTTACCTCTAGGAGCTATTACCCAAGCCCATCACTGCTACAGAGGATGGCAGATGAGAGTTTGAATTTGAAGTTGGTGGCGGCAGCATTGGAGAAGTTGAGTACAAGCCAGGCTGCCCAGACATGGTCAAGGCATCTCAAAACCCCGGACGTCTTCAAGCCAGACACAAGAGACAGTGAGCTGAAGATGTGGAGCGACTGGAAAATTTAGGGCATCGACCCAGCTATGGCCTTGGCCAT